GGTGGTGGATTGGTCTGTGGTAGTTCTGGTGTTGGTGATTTGATCTGTGGCAGTGGTGGTGTTGGTGGAGCAAATTAAGTTGTTGGCATCCTTTCAGGGAGGATGCTAAAAATGATAATGATGTAAAATGCTGAATATGCAACATAACAATATATATCTACATACCTCTTCATTACCAACATCACGCTTTATTAAGCCACTTTTCCCAATGGTTTTCTGCAAAATGTGATCAGAAATTACACTTAAAACACTTTTATTATGATGTCATGTGTTGGGAGTGTTCAAATTAATTTTTAATTTAATAATATTTAAATTAAAGACAATGTCCAGCATTATAATAGAATGAACAAACAAACAAACAAACAAGTCATTTACTGCCAAATCAGATAACTACACACATAGAGATCCATGCTCCACCCCCCCCCCCCACCCCCCAAATAACTTAACCAGCCAACACCGTTCTGTACACATGCAGTAGTGAGGAATATGTTCAAAGATACTAGTACTCATTAAAAACAATTCTGATTAAGTATTTCAAAGTAAAATGTTATAGTTTGGGTGTATTTGAAGACATGTGCGAGATAGATGGGTCTCATATAAACATAGATGGCGACTTTGACTGTTGTGCAGATCAACAAGTACAAACTGAGACGTTACCAAGCTTTAAGTAGGTATTGGGTTAATTAGGTCAAACCTCATACTTGTGATTTCCATTAGAAGAGCACATTGGATTGTGGGAAAATCAGTGTTTATCAACACAAATGTCACCCATGCGCAGCACGACGACCACCACCCTTTAACACAATCACCAAGGACACACAGAAACAAAGAGGATTTCACATTTTGCTATGTTTTTAGAGTTACTCGCTGTTCAATATAATTTAGTCGCCTGCTACATATCCATGAATTAACCTTGCTTGTACGTGTATAAAATCTTGGAATCTTTGGTGGAAAGTCAGTTGATGAGCATGTTGGGTGGGGGTCGGGGGGGAGTGGGTCAGTAGTCAATGACTTGTTTGTCTGTTCGTTTAACTGCTGTTGTTTACGTATGCAAGCACGCATGTCATCTGCGCATGACAACGTTACATGATTACCTCATGTTCTATTTTAAGTACCCCTGAGACCAATGATGGTGGGCGCCCATGTTTTCTGTTTTCACGACTGCATCATGGTCTTATGTATCAAGATAAATAGGGCATTTGCGGTCTCTTATCACGACTGCAAGGTGTTGATTAGAAAGGTTTGCACGATCACTTCCGGGATGAGTAAGCGCCGCGTGATAACACACACCATTCACTTTCAGTGATCAACATTGTCATCTGAAATAGGACTCGGACTTCATGTTTATACTTACATAACTTATTGGCGGGATCACTGCCAGATTCAATGACGTCACTTCGGTAGCTAACAGTACAGTCAGTAAAACACCTCTGTAAGCCATTTTAAACATGGTATTTCACCAGCCCTATTCACTAAGACTTATTGGCCAGCATGGCGAAGTCACTGGAACGGGAAAAATGTTATTCAACTCTGCAGTCGTCGTAGACGCACTGACTGGTCATTCGATCGTGTTTTACGATGTTGTTCACTTCAGAATCTAAGAAACAAACATTGGTTACCTGCAAATGACACGCAACAGCGCCCCCAACATTACTTTTCTTATGCCTTCGTTTATTTCAACACACCAGGCAGATACATATCAAGTCTGATTCATATATTGTAGTTCTAAAGTGGGGGAGTCGTCACCTGCGCATGCGCCATATGGCCATAGCGTGTCATTGTTTACAAACAAGCGTCTACCCATGAGCCTTTGCGTTTTTAGCGTGTGTTGTTAACAATGTGGATAACTTTGTAAGTATGTTTTTGACACTACATCTTTGTAAAATAATAAGGCTATGATTTATTTCGAAAAACAAAACAAAAACATGATGGCAGTATTTAGTACGTTCGATTAAATTTTGAAAACCAGACTTTAATCAACTGTGTCTGTAAATAACTCCACAACTCATGCGCATTAGAGTTTTTCCGTATGTCGTTGAATGGAAACTGCTATGATTTGGTTTACGTTGAATCATATGTTGTTTCTCATTAGATACAATATTACAATTATTTAAAGACGCTCAGAAATACTCATTCCCATTTTAATAGCTACTTACCAAGTCAAACCTGATTGGCTACCTGGCCTAAACATCTAACAGTCAAACCAATCAGAAATCAGCTTATTCGTCGACAGGTTTTTTTTTCTCCAACACGTCAAATTCTGTCCTGTATAAATGATTTGACTCAACTGGAATATGGCTTGTACTTACTATTTGTAACAACGACGACGTCAGTAGGGACAGTAGCATTCGGTGTGCGTACACCGCCCGACACAAAGTTAATTATTTTATATGTTATAACAGCTACGAGTATAAATGTTCAGACCTGTATTGTTTCATTGAAAGAAAAAGAGCCATAATAAATACAAAATTAATATTTATGTTTCACAGGACTACCTTTTTTTATATCGACTAACTACGTAACCATATCGTTATGCTTATGAATTACTCGCTAAGACTAATGATATTCACTTATGTTGTTGTTATATGCCAATGAATTACTCGCTAAGACTATAGACCCTCCAGTAGAGGGTCTATGCTAAGACTAATGATATTCACTTATGTTGTTATATGCCAATAAATTCACGGACCGCTAATGTGTTAGCATAACATATCAGTGTTGTTTGGAATTAGTGAAGTTAACGTGAATCTCTTGTCTCTAATTTGACACTATTATATTCCATGGCACTAAAAATGATTGTGGATCCTGGTGGAAACATTTACTTAATCTGGATGTCTTAAATATAATAACGATGCATTACATTGTCCCAGTTTAGTTTAGTATTGTGTCAACGATTGTTCCCTACCACCAAGAACGTATCTATTATCTGGAGTCAATGCGAAGCTATTTACAAGATTGTACCTGATTGGTTACCCAACTCTAACACACAACAGTCGGACCAATCAAAGAGTAGCTTGTTGCCAGATTTGTTCGACGTTTTAAAACAAGTCTCGACTTTCCCGCGAGCTACACGACAAAGACGCGTCTTTATTCATATATTGACTTATTGTCATTGAGTGTCGCAGTATTCTCAAATTGTTAATAATCCATGTTATTAATTACCAACCCCTCATGTCAAGATTACCTTTTCTAATGCTCCCATAGACAAGTGAATATTTTTAATATGCTTCCATAGACAAGTGAATATATGTTAAACAACGTTATTTTTCATAACATAACTTGATTCTATCCTATTTGTGTCCTTCGAATCTCGAGTGAATTATTTTCGTTCTTTTTACGTCAGTTTGTTCTGGTTGCCTCACAAAAGACAACACACATTACAAACCTCACATTACCCAACGAGGTTGAATGGTGGCGCGTGCAAATAAGTGTGTATAGCCACGACCAATGAAAATGGTTTCATTTAATGATAGTAAGGAGAACGCAATCAGTAGGGACATTCCATTCTACGGTGTGTAGTTTCATGATACAAGTTTATTTTCCGGTGATATCAACAAACAAATTAAGTTTATGACAATTTGAAACCATTGGTAGTTAAATTGGTATTTACATGAACAAAAATCATAATAAAAATCAGATTCTAGCAATTAAAAACGTTATGATTTATTGGATAAAAATGGACATAATTAAAATCTTAATATGTTACAATTTGTTAACACTGGGCTCTGAAATGCATGGCAGACATTTGTGTCATGTTTTTGGAAATTTGAATAACTGCAAAAAAGCTGAATAGAAGCCAAACAAAAGGTGCACAGTATTACCACGCAATCTGAATAAAATAATTACCACATGTGAAAACTGGAGGGCGTACTATGCATGTTAAATGCTGCATGCCTATGTGTTATAATGAGCTTATATTGCCGGAAAGTGACACATTGACATACGTCTGGCACAATATGTTTTCGATATAGGGGTTTATACAGTTGGTAAAATGTAAATGATACGAACTCAATGGATTACATAAATCGTGTGAATGTCCGCTGACACACAACTAAATAGTAAGTACAATGTATATACAGTTAAACATAAAACATTAAATATAGCACCATACACAAAGCCACATGGGTAAGGTAAAAAATTAGAGTTTAAAACTGGCAGTAAAATAAGGATTAAAATTAATGTGGCTTGTCACTCTAAAAAAAATGTAGATATCGCAAGAGAATATGCAGTGGACAATATTTACAAAATGCACATTCGTTCGCTGGTTTTCGTTTCCGTTTGTTTGTCCGGAAATGAAAAACTTTAAAACTTGAAGGAAAAGGGCCACAGTAGTTTTCAACATCGTTATTGGTCATGAAAACACTGGAAGACAAAACTAAAAATAAATACTTGTCGATCCACTATATGGGAAACAGAGTATATCGACATATAAATATAATTATATATATAAATTAAAATCGTATCTATTTCTTACAATTAAATTGTAAGCTAAAATAACTTTACAATGAAGTGACGACCGTAGAGTTGTTAGTTACACAAACATCCAAGATAGTCTCCACTTAAAATTCAAGCAAATCTAATGTACATAATTTTAACACTTTGTAGCATGGACCTCTTTTCCCCATTGTCCATTAAATTACATTGTATAGCCGTTTGTTTTGTTTCTCGCGATTATCTTAAATTATGCAAACTATATTTCCCGCCAAAAATGCATCGTATACAACGTAACAGTCACACACAAATATGACTGGGAAACATTTTGACAAACTGAAACAAATTTTAGCGGGAAATATTGATTGCTCTCACGACTGCTGTCCCTGTCCACAGTTTACATTTCCTAAAGTGATTCAACGCTAAGTCTATTTGTGTGTGCATGTATTTTGCCGATTTGTTTATTTCGATTTTGGAAGTCCGATATATTGTCTAATTGTGACGCATCCGTGCTTGGTCAAAGCTTTCGGTACTGTTTTCATCGTCGTCCATTCGTCTTGAACGGGGTCATATGACTCCATATTATTAGTAACCATTGTCAACGCGTCATCGTCTTCTTTGCCAATCACCCAGCGACCCCCGGTGACATAAACGCGTCGATTAAGTATGGTTCCCGAATACAAATCACGCGAGTGCTCCTCCGCATGTTCCTCGCATGTCCCGGATGAGAGTTCGTTCGTGTCTGGTTTGTAGACTTGAACTGCGAACTTGCTCTTTCCTCCAACTATGTATACCTGTCCACGGATTGTTCCTGCGATTTGTACTGGTCCCGTTATGTTAACAGAATCGACAACACTCCAAGTCTTATTGCTAATATCAAAATATTGAACAACGCAGTCATCACCATCATCTTTCCGACTGATGACATAAAGCTTCCACCCGCATGACGTCACTGCCGGTTCAAGAACACCGTGATACATTTCCTGGACTTGTTGCCATGTATTTAATTTCCTATCGAACTTCTCCACACTTTTCAAAGACTGTGAGTTGTCGTCAAGAGAACTCTGTCCACCAATCGCGTAAATTCTATTGTTAGCAACGCCCAGAGAGTGCAAATAACGGCCAACTCTCAAATCAGACGCTCTTGACCAATCATTATAGAGAGAATCATATCGCCATGTTTCTCCACTGACTCTGTTGCAATTGAGACCACCAACAACGTAGATGTCATTGTTGAGGGTAGTCACTTTATACTCCACGCTATCGTTTTCCATAGAAGCCAAGGAATACCAATGACGCTCGTTCGGGTGATAATATTGCACATCTTTTATCCACTGCTCGTTTTTATTTTTTCCTCCAACGATCACCATCACCTCACCGAATGAATACCTTGCCTTTGGCCTTGGATCTCGATGAAATTTCCCTTTTCTAATAACGAGGTGCACGATTGTGGCATCTCGGATGAGCTTCTTGCATGCCTCTGACTCCTGGATCAGAGGTTCGGCTGCAGGTATCTCCTCAAGAAACTTTGGTGATAGATATGACAGACGTACAGACTGCATAAGTTCAGGGAGATATACTTTTCTTTTCTCTACGTCGTGTTTCACCCATTGCATGACAGCACTGTATACTTCACTTTCAGTCTTAACATCAAGCGTATCTTCGCTAATCAACCTTTCAATCTGGTTCAGGCACATTTCAAAAAATTCCGGATGTAAGCGTACTTCTTTGAAGTTCATAACGGCAACTTTTGTGGCGGCCTTCTCTAGTTGTTCCACGCCGTGTTTTCTTGCTAACGACTGCACTCCGAGGCAGTTTGCAGGCGTGATACGACGTTTTAGAAATTCTGTGCACTTTTCCAAGACAGCATCATGCCTTAGTATACTTGCAAGCGCCAGAATATCCTTGGCATTCTCATGATGAATGTCCAGGTTTGACGTATAAGTGTATTCCACAAGTCGTTTCATAACACTTGCAGACGCATTTTTTATGGATATTTTAACATGCTCATCGTCTGAACCTTCGAGCAGTTTCTCAAAATAATCCCCTGTTGTTGCCATGACAACGCAGTGGCAGACAAATTCCTCATCCTCCGCTTTGAAAGTAACGTCAGTAAATATCTCTTCTCTCCGCATATCGTTAAGTCCGAGCAAGGTTTCAATAGCATGATATGGCTGATAGAGGACGCTCTTCGTACTCGCTGTCTCCCCGTTTCCATTTTCGTCCTGGTTCTCCAGATTAAGTACAAACTCCTGACAGGCTTGTTCCGCTGAGTTAAGCTGCAGTGTCTGCGTACCCTTGATGAGGGCGCCAACATTTTCCTTCGTCACTGATAACTTAGACGTATAGATGTATTCCACAAGTAAGTGTAATATATCCGGCTCAATGTAGTCCAAATAAAGGCGTCCATCTTCGAGTGCTTCTATCGCAAATATGGATAGAATATATGGACTACTTGCGGCAAGAACTACACGATGACCGGGGATTTCCACATCACCGGCACACAACAGAACGTCAGTAAATCTATTCTCCTTACGGAAATTGTTTAGATCTGACAAGAGTTTAACCGCGTAGCTAGGGTCGATCCGGTGTTCCTCCTCGGTTTCAGTGAGTGAGCGAAGACTGATGGCTGAATAGACACTTAGAAACGAGGAACGGAGTGTGGCATAAGAGGAGATGGAGCGAAGACTGTAACAGCTGGCTTTAACTTGACTGATGCTGCAAGGTGAATCACTTAAAGCTAGGATGCTTTGACTTCTTTCTGTTGAAACAAGGGAAGTTTTCGAACCTAGAGCATTGTTAGATAGATTAATATTCAAGGGACGTTTAACACAGTTGTCTTTGTCCTTCACCTTGCCGTTAGACGTGATATTTGACATGGGAATGTCCGCGTGACCGCCATCTTCGCTGCTGGGGGTAATGGATGGATAAATGTAATTTCCGGGTTCGGGGTCCACCACTTTTTTCTTGGAGCCACTTTGGCAGCAACCCATTGTTTTGTTTCCTTGTGGTGGGTTTGGTTATTCCGTCATAGATACCTAGAAACAACAAAACAAAAATCAGTTATATACAAGGTGATTGCAAACATGTTCCTGAGAGGAGAAATCGATTTAACTGGCTATCGGATATGCTTCACATATTTTATGATCAAAGCGAGTAACTGATCACAGAATGTGGGCAAGTCCTCTGTACTAAGTATTATAATATACTCGGGCGGACATCCGGGCATTTTCACCGCCTGGCAACCATCGCGGTGAAAATAATGGTCAAAAACTCGCAGAAAACTTTGGGATAGTTGTTGAGACGCCCTTGAACAGTGTAACAAGATTAGCCCTACGCGTGTAACATATATAAATTTGGTTGTTTTGGATTACTTCAAAGTTGAGTTTGTGTTGTTTTCTCGAATTTTCACCGGCTCGACCGGCGTTCATAGAAATGCATGTACAGTGGTGCGCGTATTAGCAACGTGGAACGTCTTGTGACGTGGCTCCGCCGCCGAGGATACCACTATAATTCTAAACGAGTTTACTCATTGAGGGCGCAAGTAATATACAAGCTGCACAAATAAGTAGGAAAAAAGATAGTCACACGTTTGGTGGCCATCGGGGGGGGGGGACTGGTAACTGGACAATCAAACTGCATATGAACTTTACAGTCACCTCGACATTATTCGTGCTCAAATACTTGTTTACCAGTATGCTTGGGTATTTCTTATTAAGTGCTGAATAAAACTCATTTCCAGTTAAACACGACTCAGCTACGGAGCTGACGTACTTCATATGTTATTTGCCCAGTGGCGTTAACATATGTAATCAATACGATTGGCGTGCTTCCAGCTGAAATACTATAAAGGTCATTTTTAATCGACCTCCCTGGTTATGTCTCCCCGTATCATTGAATAATTGTCATAGATATCAAAACAAACTAGGAACTCTAAAAGATTGAATGTTTTTATTTATCATTCCATGCCAGTATCAGCTTGCATCCACACTGTCCGTCTTACAATTCTCATTCTATAAGTCTGCATCCACACTTTCCGTCTTACATTTCTCATTCTATAAGCCTGCATCCACGCTGTCCGTCTTACATTTCTCATTCTATAAGCCTGCATCCACGCTGTCCGTCTTACAATTCTCATTCTATAAGCTTGCATCCACACTGTCCGTCTTACATTTCTCATTCTATAAGCCTGCATCCACGCTGTCCGTCTTACATTTCTCATTCTATAAGCCTGCATCCACGCTGTCCGTCTTACATTTCTCATTCTATAAGCCTGCATGTATGTGTTACATTGAGCAACAGACCACCAGGGCGTAGTGGTATTTAAATTAGAAATAACTACGACACCATCATTAGAACAATTCTAGCATATGAAAATAGCTTTAATACCAGTATTATATACGGTGTCGTAATTTCCACGGAACAAAGCCTACCCCGGTTACATCAACGTACACAGATGAACGATATCCCACGTGTTTTGAAGTGATTACAAGAAGCTAAACGCCGCTTTGAAGGAGAAACACGCAACTGCTTCCCCCTCAAGACAACGATTTTTTTCCCAAAGTATTAAAACAAATATAAACTAAATGCAGAGAAGACAGCATTCTGATGATGGCATAGAAGTGTGGCTTATGATGGTCTATTATGATGGCATAGAAGTGTGGCTTATGATGGTCTATTATGATGGCATAGAAGTGTGGCTTATGATGGCATAGCAGTGTGGCTTATGATGGCATAGCAGTGTGGCTTATGATGGCATAGCAGTGTGGCTTATGATGGCATAGCAGTGTGGCATATGATGGCATAGCAGTGTGGCATATGATGGCATAGCAGTGTGGCATATGATGGCATAGCAGTGTGGCGTATGATGGCGTATTATGATGGCATAGCAGTGTGGCCTATGATGGCATAGCAGTGTGGAGTATGATGGCATAGCAGTGTGGAGTATGATGGCATAGCAGTGTGGCGTATGATGGCATAGCAGTGTGGCGTATGATGGCATAGCAGTGTGGAGTATGATGGCATAGCAGTGTGGAGTATGATGGCATAGCAGTGTGGCGTATGGTTTAGCAAAACTTAACTCTCGTTAGTAAGATTTCAAAACAGGGAGATGCATGCTTTGACAGTGGTTGCCGAAGTAACACAGAACTGAGAACATCATTGAAACAGAGTTGTCTGCATCAATGAAATAGCTCGAATTCATGGAATTTGCTGCATATTACTGCTATAGCAACATCTATATCACACTGCAGGGGTCTCGGTGACCATGGCTGTAATTATGGTGCAATTAACGTTATCAGTCAACGTTACGAAGAACACGTAAACCAAAAACGAGTGCGTAATTATTTACTCGTGTATGCCGCTTCGCAGCACCCATCTTTGTAATAGAGTTAATCATTACAGGACGATAATGCGTACTGCAAATAAGTGTTATTTATAATGTCATGACAACAATATTTGGATTAAAATTGTTTCATGTCTTGGATATCCCACCACGATGTTTTTTGCACCAGAAAATCGTCAATTCCGGCTATCATTCCCGTTTTCGAATGGAAGTATTTGATCCCTCTCCCATCTTTTCAATATTTCTTGAATGTTAACTGTCGGCCAACTCTACTGACCCCCTACACACTGTGCTGATAAAGTAGTTATTTGACCTGGCGAAAGTGATACCGTCATTTGACCTTTCGTCTATGTCCGTACGTGTTTATATCGCCGATGTTACGTAAACGACATATCAGATAACTATAGTGCGTGCTTGTAGTCATGATATATACACGCCTTTGGGTCAATTATCAAACAAACTCATCTATTCATAATGGAAACTAGAAATATTCATTCTATCTACTATTTATAAAATCATCAGTGTAATGAACTGTTGAATTATGTCAGTTTACTTACTGAATATATGTCACCGTACTCCACAAAGACAGACAGATAGACAGACAGACAGACATAAATAGACCTACCATGGGTATCCATGCCAGGATAGACACGTGACAGTAAATTGAATTCCGAATATCATTGCATATTCCAGTGATATTGTACATATTAGTTACGTAATATTAGTATGGGGACGAACGAGGAATGTTGAAACGAAAATAAAAAACGTACAGGTCGCGCAATATAGTATACAGAACCCCTTGAGTACTATATTTACAGCATCAACATGATCCTGAAAATAATTCTAGCTCAAAATTAAAGTGAAAACAAAAACTGCACAGTTTTTCTTCTATATTCCCTCCAGTGGTCAGCCCCTAGAATTGAACGTTTGCTGAAGGCATTTTTATAGCATTACTCTATCTCTCCCTACTGGATAAACAGAGCGTTAGATACATGGCATCAGTAATATTATCTGATTGTTAATTTGCTATAAATAGCCATTGAGGTCATTAATGAGATGGAGGATATCAACAGCGCACTGTGTCTGGGGTTAATAATGGACACGTGATATACGATACTAATTACATTTTTTGGAACAGAAACATTTGCTAAATTATTCTCTGTGATTGTCTGTTTTAAACTCCCAAGAAAAAGAAATTGTGGAACCCGAACTAGTGTCTGAATTTTCCTTTTTTTTTTACTTTTTAATAGTTCGAAGTTCTGTCGGAATCGAGATTTTTCTGCAATAGTCAATAACACGTGTGCATGTCGTTGAAATGCGGGGGGGGAGGGTGTCATGGACAATCTCTCGAAATGTAGTTTGTATTCCTATAAAAAATGGCAACATTTTCATTGTATCCTGTTTACCTTGGTTGCTGTAGTAAACGTTTTTCCTCATATCTCGAAATATTTCACCGAAACATGGGATGTACAATTCCTATATTGTCATTAATATGAATTCTCAAACTATTAATTTTTCAAAATGATTAATTTGATTAGTTTTCAGAAGATACCACGAATTCACTTAGATCACTGCTGAAAAAACACAAGAAAACAAAAGATTTTCATTGCAACAATTTATTTATAACACCAAGATGAGATACAAAGTATCCATTGAGTTACGCTCGATTCAACTGACACTGACAGCAAGTAGGCCATCGTTGTACTTAATGTACTAAAACGTTATTTCACAAGTTTGATTGCTGTCAAAATGTCATTTGATTGGTTAATACGAATCTTTTCTCGAGCTGATTGGCCAGTGCTAAGTCGGTTAGAAAGCATGCTGTACAACGGATGCGTAAGTATATCTTGCGATGGACCCGGTAACGACGCTCGGCACGTGCCGAGACTTTTACCGTGAACGTAACTAATAATGAGTTCAAAAGAAAATTGTAGACATGTGCAACGCAAACCTGCGGAATAAGTAACCATAACAAACGCATCACATCAATAAATATGGATAAATATATCTTTATATAATCGCCAACACAGTAACGTACGCAAAACCACAGTCCCTCTATCAGAGGGATAGAGGGACTGTGGCAAAACCAATGCACGTCTCTGTCGCGGCTGTCATGGTAACAAGTGTCTTAGACAAAACAGGGATCGAAACACCCTGGTGCACACTGCACTATGCACATAGATTATTAGCGAGTGCAAGTAAACTCAAAATATAATGTGCACACTGTCCATGTAGAAATTAACACAACATTTTCTCATTATATTCACT